GTTCTAGATATAGACTACACGGATTCTGTGGACCTTCATTTATAGTGTAAAATACAGACCTGACCTGACTCCCCAACATTTTAAAATTCTCCTACTCAGCTACAGGGTTCACTAAAGCACTTTTCTCAGAATTGCTTCTTACAAGGTACAATGTACCTTCCACTAAAATTTTCTTTAACGGAAGAAATTTTGCATGGGGATTTCTAACCTTGACATTTCCATTTTATTAATTTGTTATTATTACACATTGAATATAGTATTTTATGTACCTGTAAGCTCAGTACTATATTTATTTAATATTTGTTTATTAAATACTGTATGGATGAACAGGATTAATGCATGTTTGTTCCATTTGTGTCCCTTAGGAATTACTGTATACTTTCCTTAACAAACAAAACAGAACATTTTATTTTCAGCTTTCAGTAGTATTGGGGATGACATCAGTGCAAATCTGCAGACGTGCACTGAAAACAATTTAAAAGGAAAATAATTATGAATTAACAGGAAAATAATACAGCTGATGAAAAAAAGAAAAAAATATGGCACTATTTTAATAAACATAGGGCATAGTGTATACATATTTATGTTAGTCATTAAACAAGTCCTTGTTATATAAAGTACTTGAAAGTATCTGAGGTGGCGACAAACTGAGGAAATGATGTGAATGTTACACAGCACCACATTGTCTTAGCTTGGCTCAGAATTATTATAGATTTTGACAGACTGACTTTACAGCAGAGTTTCAACATTCTCACCCCTTGACCACAGACACACAGACACTGACTGTCTGAATGAAAGGACAAGACACCTGCTAAGACACTAAGCAGTCTGTGTATCATTGTAACACTCAAGAATGGGAAAGGGCTCAGAGAACTTCCAGCCTTCCCAGTCTTCAGCATTGTGGAGGTATTAGTAGTTCAGGTGGGTACACCCGAAAAAGGTTCCAAGGCCCAAATGTTGTGTTTTCTTTCTTCTCTTTTCAGCATGGAATAAACCTTTTACTTGTTCCTTTGTGGAGGTATAGTTAGGGCTTGTAACTGGAAGGCTGTGTGTTTATCCTGGGCAGCACCTTTTTGTTGTATCATTGAGCAAGGTACTTCACTCAGACTGCTTTAGGAAAATACCCCAATGTAGAAAATAAGTTACCTTGGGTAAAAGAAACAAGCCATGTAAATAATTAATAATTTGCTCTCAGAACTACGAAGACAGGGGGCATGCAAGCATGTTAGCAAGGGTCAAGGACAGTAATTGCAAGTTTGCAAAAAAGGAGGTCATTCAATCCATTTAGTTTGCTTGATTTTTGGTAGCAAAGTTATCTGAGGATCTCATTCAGCTGTTTCTTGTTAGACGTAATGGCATCGGCTTCGATAACATGGTTGGTCAGTTTGTACAGTAAGTGCACTCAAGAATATGAAAAGATGTGCTTACCACATACTGTATGGCGGCAGCAAAGTATTTGTGTCTTATTGAGCTAAAACAAAATGTGCTATTCAGAGGACAGTTACAGTTACACAGTTACTGAACTCTGTTGCTGTACAATTTCCACCACGCCATCATCAGAATTCCCTCTTCACAGATGAGAAATCCATACTTCATTGTACAAACTTTGTCTGGGCTTGTTCCTAGACATCTTAAGTGCTTCTTGTTTGGCCAGTGTACTCTTCTGACCTGAATCTGAACCTGATCAAGCACCGCTGGAACCAGCTAGGAAGACAGGTGGCACAGAGTGCTAACCAACCAGGTTATGTACTGAGGTTTGAAGCATGTAGCATGTCTATTTCTACACAGAAATACTGTCTACACAGCTATTGACTGTTGCTGACCTAAGTTAGCTCAGCACTTTCTTCCAGGACTCAATAGTTTATCAGGTAAACCAAAGAGTAGAAGAATATCTCTAATGTACTATAAGGATAATTCATATTTAAAACCAAACTGTAGACTCCATTTAACTGGAATTGTAAATATATTTTACAATATTGTGTTTAATTTATTATTTTAATTAATAAATCATTTTTAGTGGGATGTGGGACTGAAAACATTTCTAGGATGTCATCATTCTTTTCATATTCATCCCTTATTGAATTGACCTAAATTGACAGAAACTCATTTGCTTTTTTTACATTGTGATTTAATACATTCAACAAAATATTATTGGAATAGTTTTATAATATCACACTATTTGTAAGGCCTCTGAGCAAAGTGCATTGAAGCTTTATTGACATGAGCACTGAATGTGAAGTTCAATCAATGAAAATATCAAGAAGCATCATAGTGTCTGGCTTCCTGTCATAGTGTGAACTGAAGTGGTGCATGATGGCCCACTTTTTCCACACCTGTTTATAATTCTTCAGTGTGTGTTCACTTGCACAGCAAATTGGCTTTTTATTATGTTCTGTTTTATAGCTGTTGCTAGAAATAGGAGAAACAAACAAAGCATGAACCACTATGAACCGTGTAGCATCTATGTGTAAATAGGACCTACATTATTTTCTGTGGGACCTCAAAGTAACACAAAAGGGTTGGAATAACGTAGATACAAACAATATATGGTGAGAAATAGGGAAAGTATCATAATTCATCAGTATCATAATTAATCCACATGCAGTGTGAGGCACTTTCCAAATAACCTAATAATAAGAGAAGTCTATTTCATTGCACAGTCAGTTTAAAATTCACTTAAATCCATTATATCATCCTCTGTACAGCTATCTTGAGTGATGCTGCTACAGTATATGATTGTTACATGATTGTTTCTATCCCCAGGACCATTATTAACAACTACTCAATTTTACAGGGCGATCTCTCCATAGGTATCCTTTTTTCTGACCGCCCAATCATCTCATACTGCCAACCACCCAATCTACATAAACTTCTTCTACATTCACAGCTCCCTTGACCACACTCGACAATCATCCACACCAGGCACCTTCCCCTGCAACAGAGCTCGCTGCACCACCTGCAAATACCTAGCTAACAACACGCTCATTCAGGGCCCCTCAGGTCAATTCCAGATCACCCAGACCACATTCTGTACCTCCAGCAACCTCATTTACTGTATCACCTGCATAAAATGCCCAGAAGGAGTCTAGGAGACCGCTACAGAGAACATGTTCAGGCTCTGAAGATGAAAGATTTCTCCAAGCCCATAGTTTCTCATTTCACCACAGATGGCCATGAACACACTGATCTCACTGTCTCTGTTCTCAAAGAAGAGTTTCTCAACTCCCATAGCAAAAAGACAACACAAACAAAACTAGGTTCACACCATCCACCTTCTCTCAATGACCAATTTATTTTCATGTAATCTTCTCTATTCTCATGCAGGTTTTGACTTCACACCTTTCTTTACCCCTCTCCACTTTGCACTTTCTGAGTGGCCTCTCTGCCTCTCCTGCCTCCTCCCCTCTCC